TGTTGTAACCCAGGGCCCAGTGGGCCAGTTTGACCAGGAAGACTTTCCCTGACAAGAAACAAGGTGCGAGCGTCGAGGGGCACACTTTGATTGAGAAAAACAATATGTTCCGGTGGGGGGGATCAACAATAATTATCCTTCAGAAATGAGAATTCAACAACAACAAAAACAACAACAACAACAACAACAACAACAACAACAACAACAACAATCATTTTACCCGAACGCGTGGTGTTCTCCCCAGTGCCAGGGTTTTCATACGACACCAGGCAATACCCCCACTTCGTGGGGGGGCATTACAAGCTCTACCAAATATCCAAACGACTCTTCGCGACCACCCAAACCCAGCTTCCCGCCCTATGACGTTGGGACACTTCACTTCGTGGCGTGCGGACGACCGTGGCTACTACACTGGCGTGGGGTACACACCCACAGAACTTGGTCACTTATTCGGGGCGCGCATGTGCCCAGCATGGTGCAATTGTGCCATACAATACATAATACAGAGAGACAGAGAGAGAGACAGAGAGCAGACAGAGAGAGAGACAGAGAGATCGGAGTTGGTCACATTTTTGGGTCAAGTTCCTGGGATGATGGGAATACACAACTCTGTTACATTTGATAGTGTGCACGACACACATGAGATGATACGTACTCGCAAGATAGTTGGTCACATTTGTGGAATTCCTGGGCGCATGTGTCCCGCATGGTATTATTTGACAGGGATGATGGCCCTGGCAGGTGCGCAACCGTTGTCGCAGAAGTTCGAAAAAGTTGCTCGCAAAAGCCCGTTTGACAGAAATGTTTAAAAAGTGTTGGTTTTCCTACGAATCCGCAAGAGCGCGCGGGATGAGATTTTGACATTTTTTTGTTGAAAAACCATTGGTTTTTTGATGTTTTTATGTTAAAATCGCTCCGAACACTAAGCTTTTGGAAGGATTTCGTCTTGCGCGCGCGAATGTCCACTTTACCTTATTTTTTGCAAGGGATTCTTGAAATTTGATTATATTAGAACAAGAAATGTCATTTTATAGTGTTTTTTGCAAGGGAAAACGGATTACAACAAAACAACCGGATCTTGATCACCTCGAATTACCTGAGGCTTCCTCACGAAAATGATGAAAACGTGGCTGCGGCCTAGGCGCGGCGGGGGGGGCGCGCACCAGGGGGCCCAACAATAATTATTCTTTAGAATTAATAATGTTCAACAACAACAACAACAACAGCAGCAGCAGCAGCAGCAGCAACAACAACAACAACAACAACAACAACAACAACAACAACAACAACAACAACAACAACAACAACAACAACGATGATTATAAGACTGCTCGCTCTTACTGGCACGCGTGCTTTGCATTCTGTATACCCAAACCCTCGATACCGCCCATTTCGTCTTCGATCGCACCCTCTTTCGGGGGGAGCATCTTATTTGTCGGCCATTGATTGCAGTGCGGGGAACACTCGAGCAAGAGCGCCGTTTCTGAGTTCGGGGTCCTCTCTGGCCAGGCCAGGGGATCGAAGGATAACCCTTGTCGTCGTAGTTGGGCCTCCGCCAATTTGACTGAATCGCGAGGAAGTCTCGAGCGAGAGCGCCGATCCTGAGGTCGGGGGCCTTCCTTGGCCAGGGGCTCTCGGAGTAAATCGTGCGGAAGTATCGAGCAGGAGCCCTTATCGTCGTGGCTGGGCCTCCGCCAACTTGATTGAATTGCGAGGACGTCTCGAGCGAGAGCGCCGTTCCTGAGTTCGAGGGCCTCTCTGGCCAGAGTGTCTCGGGGTAAACTCTGAGGAAGTATCGAGAGAGAGCCGTTGTCGTCGTAGCTGGGCCTCCAAGGGCCCACTTTTACACTCAAGCCACCGCTCGCGCGGGAGCCTCGTTTTCAGAGAAAGTGTAGCCGTCGTCGAGGCGAGAGCGCGCGGAACCGTTTCCAGAGATCAACCATAGTTATTCTAGAGATGATTATTCAACAACAACAACAACAACAACAACAACAACAACAACAACAACAACAACAACAACAACAACAACAACAACAGCATCACCGACACCATCATCACCCTCAACAACAGCAACAACGTGGTCATCACCACCATAAGCATCCTCAGCAGCAGCATCATTATCACTACCATCAGCATCATCAGCTTCATCAGCAGCAACACCACAATCATCATCCTCATCATCCTCATCATCATCATCAGCATCATCATCATCCGCATCATCATCATCAGCATCATCATCATCATCATCATCATCATCATCATCATCATCATCATCTGCACCGCCATCATCGTCATCATCATCATCATCAACATCATCAGCAGCAGCGACAGCAGCACCACCATCATCACCCTATCGCGTCTCCTCTCACTCCCTGCCCCTGTCAATCCCTCCACTCCCCTGCCTGGATGCCCTCCTCGTTCCTTTCCACTGCTCCCTTCCCTCGCACTCTCATTCCCTCCCCAATCGTTCTTCCTTTGGACTCCTTGAATCACCACGGTGACAGGCCTGCGCAGAGAAGAATGGACGTCGCACCGCCCGCGCGCCCTGCCCGGATACTCCTACAAGCAGAGCGCGCAACGGTAAAAAGACGGCGCCCTCTAGTGACGTATGCTGTCCCAGGGGCTCAGGCAAGCAGGGAAGATGAAGACGAGGAGGGGAGCAGGAGAAGAGAGGAGGGAGGGGCACAGCAGCAGAAGGACATCATCCCTTCACCCCGCTCACTGGAACGATCGTCTTCAAGCTGCCGCACTAGGTCCACAAGGTTCAAAAGAGCTAGCGAAACTGCCGTCGCCGGGAAGGGCCGGCGGACCTGCGGGGGAGGCAGGCGCGCCCGTAGCGCGCAGGCATTTTGAGAGGACCGAGAAGAGGTCAAGAATAGCTCGGTGGCAACTCATGGATGCCTCCCAGGGTCGGCTGTTGCGAATCGACGCTCGTCGACGCTAAATCGACGCTAATCAACGCTAGATCGATGACCGGCGCTAAATCGGCGCTATCTCATCGACTCCCAAACGCTAATCGACGCGAATCGACCCTAAAGACGGAGTTTGTGGGTATACTAGGCTCCAATGATTTCCTACCAAGGTATGCCGCAATTACACGGATGAGGGTCGGCTCCTTTTCAAAGCGGGGCTCTTGCTGGGCACCTCGCTGAACTAATCCTGTGCCCCCGAGAATGAAACCCTGGGGCCCTGGGGATGATAGAAGCTTCGGGGTTCCGGGGAAATAACAAATATGTTGTCCGACAGCTCGCATGTACGGATGTATGCATGCACGGTGTACGGATGTACGGTGTACGCGGTGTACGGTGTGCGCGGAGATGCGGATGTACGGAGTGTCGAAAGTCCCATGGCTGAAATGGTGAGAATCCTATGGCACTGCCTCACGTTCGTGACCTGGAAGGCCAGAATGGTGAGAATCCGATGGCCCTGCCACACGCTCGTGACCTGGACGGGCTGGAATGGTGAAAATCCGATGGCCATGCCACACGTTCGTGACCTGGAAGTGCTGGAATGGTGAGAACCCGATGGCCCTGCCACACGCTCGTGTCTTGGAAAAGCCGAAAGGGTGAGACACCCATAGCCCTGCCACACGTTCGCCACTTGGGAAAGCTGAAGATCTGGTGAGAATCCCCTAGCCTTGCCACACGTTCGTGACACTGTTGCCACTCAACAGAAGAGGATAGCAACTTCGATTCGTACCTTCCCTGGCGAGAATGGAGTTCGGCCTCGCCGCCCCTTCTCCCCCGACCAACTCTGTCTTGGCTGGAGATATTCCGCACTCAGGTGTACAGGGGGGATTCATTCCCTGGGGTATGCGACTATGCGATCCTGCCTTCTCGCATTCCTGATAAATTAATCACTAGAGTCGGCGATGGACAAACCTCCCTTTAGTAAACCTCCCCTTAGTGAAAACGGCCTGGGACCGAAACCGACGGACCCGGACACGCAGAAATGACGGCCGCGACGCCCTCTCGCGAACCGAAAACGGCCGATTCCTTAATCGACGTGGCAGGGTAGGAGGTCTATCCACCTCTGACAGAGAGACGTAAGGGAGCCTCCTGCTCAAGACGAGGCTCTCGCCTGACTGGCAGGCCCGGTGAGTGCTCGTCCTTGCGGAGGCAGACTCCTTCACTGAAAACTAAAACTGTGCGGAACGATGAGGAGGGTACTCTGAGCGAGAGGATGTGCTGCAGAGTCGTTGGCGCATCCTGGGTTTACTCTGGACCTTCTCCTCCTCCTCCTCCTCCTCCTCCTCCTCCTCCTCCTCCTCCCTCCTCCTCCTCCTCCTCCTCCTCCTCCTCCTCCTCCTCCTCCTCCTCCTCCTCCTCCTCCTCCTCCTCCTCCTCCTCCGCCTCCTCCTCATCCACCTCGTCCCCTTCTCGTCCTTCCTCTCCTCCTCCTCCTCCTCCTCCCTCCTCCTCCTCCTCCTCCTCTCCTCCTCCTCCTCCTCCTCCTCTCCTCCTCCTCCTCCCCTTCCCCTCCCCCCCCTCCTCCTCCTCCTCCTCCTCCTCCTGCCTGCTCATCCTCCTCCTCCTCCTCCTCGTCCTCGTCGCCCCTCCCTCCTCCTCCCTCCGGTCGGGCTGAGAGGGCTCGGAAGAGAAGGCTCACTCGCTCACCCGGCGGCTCCAGCTCGGCTTCGTCTCGGCTTCCCTTTTGCGCCTCTGTCGGTGCTGGGCCCTCCTCCTCTTCTTCCTCCTGCTCCTCCTCCTCCTCCTCCTCCTCCTCCTGATCCTCCTCCCCCTCCTCCTCCTCCTCGCCTCCTCCTCCTCCTCCTCCTCCTCCACCTCCTCCTCCTCCTCCTCCTCTCCTCCTCCTCCTCCTCCTCCTCCTCCTCCCCCTCCTCCTCCTCCTCGCCTCCTCGTTTCCTCGCACCACGACGACGACGACGACGACGACGACGACGACGACGACGACGACGACGACGACGACGACGACGACGACGACGACGACGGCGGCGGCGGCGGCGGCGGCGGCGGCGGCGGCGGCGGCGGCGGCGGCTCCCGGATGCGCTTACTGCGCACCCCGGGCCAACGGTCGAAAGGCTGATCGTCGCCCCTGCCCAGCGCGAGGGACCTCCGCTCTGCACGGAGCCGCTCCTCCTCGTCGTCGTCGATCGATCGATCGAGGTTCGAGCATCGACGCTCCAGGATGCGATGCGTTCGTGGACGATGTCGAACATCCTCTTGGCACATCCGCAGCGGGTACGGACATAAAGAGTACGGGATGCCTAACAGCAAGTGTTGTCAAGAACCGACAGCGGCCGCTGTCGGTCAGGCAGTTTTCTGCCTCGAATGGGCAACGTCCGCGGCGACACCGACAGCGAGTCCTGTTCCAAATGGGCAGGCACTGCTGTGATTTGTTGGCGGCGAGTGAGGGGGCAAAATGAGAAGCAGAAGGCCTTGTCAGAAGGCTCGGAAGTCCCTCGGCCTTCTGGACAGATTTCTGAGCCCTCCCCGAAGACAACAAAAAAAATGACCAAAGGTGGAGGCCTTCTGAGAAGTCCCGCCTCCTTCTGAGAAGGCCTTCTCCTTCTCTACCCACCCTCCCTCGCCGCTGAATCTGCGTCCCCATTCTGTCCGCACCCATCTCGATCGTACCGATAGCCTGAACTCGGCGGCGACGATGGGGGCGAATAGCCCAGGGGCGGGCATTACACGTATTCGCCCGGGAGCCTTTTCGAAGACATTGATCATCGGCGCACCTGAATACATGTACTCCAGATTTCGTAATGAAGGGAGGGGGGTCTCATTTCGGGGGGGGTCTCTTCCAGGCTATCTTGGAGGGCCTGGGGGGGTCTGGGGACGATGTTTTGGAGGGTTCTCCCACGGGGGGGGGTCTAAAACTTCTCGTCTGGGAGGGTTGAGACCCCCTCCCTTTTATTACGAAATCTGGAGTATTGTTCTCCCCTGAGCTATTCGCCCCTATCGCCGCCTCTGACGAACATCCTCCGGCGCCCTCGTCGGCCCGGCCGGATACACACGCCTATGAAGAGTCTTGGCCAGGACGCCCCCCCCAAGGAGAGGCCCAGGGCTCTCCGTCGGCGTCATCGTCCTCGCCTTCGTCGACGCCCTCCTCGTGCTCGTCCTCGACCTCGTCCTCGTCCTCGTCCTCGTCCTCGACCTCGTCCTCGTCCTCGTCCTCGTCCTCGACCTCGTCCTCGACCTCGTCCTCGCCTTCGTCGACGCCCTCCTCGTCCTCGTCCTCGTCCTCGACCTCGTCCTCGTCCTCGTCCTCGTCCTCGACCTCGTCCTCGTCCTCGTCCTCGTCCTCGTCGTCCTTGCCCTCGTCGCCTCGTCCTCGTCCTCGTCCCCGCCGCCGCCCTGCTGCTCGGGGCCCCTCGGCACGGGCCCACGCAGGCCGGCGATCGAGGAGCAGAAGGACCACGACGACGAGCTGAGTCCTGGATCGAAGCTGCTGCGCGTGTCGTTTGTTCTTTCCGGCGGTGGACAACCCTTCCTTTAGTAGACCTCCCCTCAGTGAGAAAACGGCCCGGGACCGAAACCGACGGACCCGGACCCGCAGAATTGACGGCCGCGACGCCCTCTCGCGAGCCGAAAACGGAAAATTCCTTACTCGACGTGTCAGGGCAGGAGGTCGTCCTCGCCCTCCTCGTCCTCGGCCTCGTCCTCGTCCTCGCCCTCCTCGTCCTTGCCCCAGTCGCCTCGTCCTCGTCCTCGTCCTCGTCGTCGTCCTGCTCCTCGTCCTCGTCCTCGTCGTCGCCCTGCGCAGGTCGGCGATCGAGGAGTAGCAGGACCACGACGACGAGCTGAGTCCTGGCTCGAGGCTGCCGCGCGTGTCGTTTCTGTGCTCTCTCTGGGCACCGAGGGCGCCGGGGAAGGCCTCCAGGTGCCGAGGGCCCCTGCGGGGGAGCCTCCAGGTGGCCTCCGGAGAGCTCCAGAGAAAGCTCCAGCGGACGACGACGACGACGACGACGACGGCGACGACGACGAGGACTAGGTCCTAGTCCTCGTCGTCGTCGTCGTCGTCGTCGGTCTCGTCCTAGTCACTAGGACGAGACCGAGGGCCAGGATGAGCACCGTGGGGGGAAAGAAGACGACGGGGACGGAGAGGTTCAAGCAGAGGAAGGGCGAAGGCGAGGATGACCGGGATGACGAGACGAGGACGAGGAGGGGGAGACGAGACGAGGAAGGGGGAGAAAGGCTTGGACGCGGCAAAGGACGACGGAAAGGACGAGCACAGGGAAGAAGCCGAGAAGGGGAAGAAGAGCACCAGAGAGGCGACGAGGAGGAGGTAAAAGGTAAAGGCCCGTGGGAGGTCCAGGTCTTCGAGTGCCCCTGCTGGGGCTCTGCGCCTCGAAAAGGACCCCTACTTATGTGTAGTATATGGATGCAAGCCGCGGACATCATCGTCGGCATCATTATATTCCTCCTCCCGCCATTCGGACACACGCAAGAATGATCTCAACCATTGCTGGGCCCAGGGGGGGCCTGACTCATGCGCGCATCGCGCGCCAGCAGCGATCAGTGAGATCGTCCTTCCGAGAGCCCCAAGCGGAAGCTGACAACTGCAGGTATCCACAGGTCCTAATCGAGGTGCCTGGCCCCCCCCTATGGAAACGCATGCAGAGCTACAACGGCGTCCAGCGTCCTTTGGACAAGAGGTCTGATGCGGTCGGACCGCACCGCTTTGAGGTCCGACACCGTCGGGAAACTCCGCGATGAGGTTTCGATCCGGCCCGACGATGCGCCCACTTCGGGAACCCTGCAGGCAAGCCGTGGAGACACTTCGGAGACGCTGCAGTGTAGCATACAATTGAGGGCCTCACACGGAATGGCACACGGTGTTCTTACGATGACTTGTGCGGTCGCGGAGGTTTCGGTGGTCGACCGTTCGCCGCTCAGTGCGAGTTCTAGCTGGCAGTCACTGGACGTGTGTCATGTCATCGCCTTTCGCGCGGACCCCAAGCCAGATGCGCTCACATGCGTCCGCATCTTGCTGTTCCGTACGCCTACGCGCGAGCGCGAATCCTGCGTAAACTCTTCTGGGAGGCCCAGGGGCTTCTCACATGTAGTCGATTCATCCCCATCCCCGTAGGTCCTAGAAAGCCCCTTGCCCACAAGGTATGCTGGGATCAGAGAAGAAAAAACGCACAGGAACGAACACGGCGCGACCAAAATCAGGGGAACGCGTCCTACTGCATGGGCGCATTGCGCGGCATTGCTTGGCTTTGCGTGGGATGTTGCTTGACGTGTTGCTTCGCGCATTGTTTGAAAGTGCTTGGTATTGCTAAGCGGTGCTTGGTATTGACAGGCATTGCGTACCATTGCTTGGCATTGCGTGGAGTTGATTGGCATTGCGTTGCACTGCCTGGCGTTGCTTGCCATTGCGTGGCATGTCGTTGACTTGCGTCGCATGGCTCACATTGCGCGTGACGCGGCAGAGAGGAGCCAAGACCAAGGAACCAATAACCCAAGAAACAAAGGAAACAACACCAATGGACCAAGGAACCAGAAATCCAAAACCAAAGAACAAATGAACCAAGACCCAGGAACCAAGGAAGCACGGCCACGAGACCTCGGAACCAAGGAACCAATACAAAGGAGCCCGAAGAAAGCAACAAACACCTAAAATCTATCTGATGAGAAACAGGACCAAGGGAACCAGGGCCACAGCATGTAAGGAAAAAAAGGCCACATAGGGGGGGGGGCTTCTAAGGAAACAAGACCAAGAACCCCAAAGGACCCAGGCGACAACCGCGCCCCGCATCCACCAGCTGTTCAAACTTACCATACGGCGTACCCAACACCTGTTGCATTGAGTCGCAAGAGGAGCTGGTCCAGAACGGCACTGCTGATGACAGCCCAAGACCTGCCAGAGTTGTGCAGGCCACACAGGAAGTGCGCGCGCGCTGCACGACTCCACAGCATCATAAGGACGAGGACAGGGGCCCCAGGCTCGACAACGAAAGGAGGAGTAGGAACGAGGGAGCATGAGAACGACGGAAGAGGGGGCGAAACGTTCACGCGACCTCAGCAGCGAGACGGTCGAGAGAAGAAGAGGAAGACAACGAGAGAGGCAGGCTCAGGACAGAGGGCGGCGATTATTTCCCAGTGCCGCGCTAGACAAACAGCGCGCCCCGTGCCATGTCGCTCTGGCGCCCAGTGGAAGTAACTGTTCACAAATGGTGAGAGAAACGAGCGAAGCCGTGCTCAAGCGCGGGCTTCTCCGTTTCGCCCCTGCACAGTCGAGGGCGGAGCTACAGACCCGCTGGCGCGCCGCCAGGTCTTCGGGCGGCCCGCGGGAATGGAAACCAAGGCTAACCTGTATCTGCGTGGGACGTCACCATGTTGGGTCCCCCAGCAGACCTCGAAAGTGGCGGCGATCTCAGTTCGCAGCCCCCCTAGCCACGGCGAAGTCCTCCTCTGATCGGGATAAAGCGTCCTTCCGCTGGACCCACCAGCAGCACCCGAACGCGATGTCACAATTCGCAACCACCCTAGCGACGGCGAGGTCCCGCTCTCCCCAACAGCACTCGAACGTGGCGACAGCTTCGCAAATCGCAGCCACCCCAGCGACGGCGAGGTCATGCTCTGATCCGCTGAAGACGCCACCCCGCGGGACCCACCCAACAGCTCTCGAAAATGGCGGCAATGTCACAGTTCTCAGCCCTGGCCCCCCCAGCGACGGCGAGGCCCCGCTCTGACCTGCGTGAGGCATCACTCCGCGGGACCCCCCGCATCCTCCAAAACTGGCGACAGCTTCGCATTTCGTAGCCCCCCCGCGACGGCGAGGCCCCGCCCTGAGATGCGCAGGCCGTCCCTCCGCGGGACCCCCCCCAGCACCCCCTCGAAAAGGGCGGCAGCTTCGCAGTCCGCAGCCACCCGGGGGATGACGAGGCAACCTGGGACGGTGAGGTAAGAGGCAGGCTGGCAGACAGGCACTTTGTTTTGATTCGCGGGTCGAGAGCGCACCTCTTCCGGTCGAAGCTAAGCGGGCCGCGCGAAGTTTGAATTAACAAGGAGGGGGGACAGAAGGAGCGCGGCATCACGGCGAGGCCAGGAGGAGGCAAAGCCTCGGGATCAGGCGGTGCCGAAAAGGACGTGCTTGCAAAGGAACGCCTTGTACAGGAACCCGACTGGCAGACAGGCACAGGCAGGGCAGAAGGCAGGATGGGGAGAGGGGGGGGGAAGAGAGAGAAGGAGGGCGGCGGGGCGAGGCAGGAGGAGGGAGGAGAGGAGGCGCGAGGCGAGGCAGGAGGAGGGAGGAGAGGAGGAGCGAAGGAGGAAAGGAGGAAAGAGGAGGAGAGGAGGAGGTAGGAGGAGGGAGGAGAGGGGGGCGAGGAAAGGAGGAAGGAGCAAAGGAGGAGGGAGGCGGGCGGAAGGAGCGGCGACCGCAGCGCTCGATGTAAGAACGAGAACCCAACGTGGGAGGGTTGGGAGCCAACATGAGCCCCCGAGGCAAAGCCTGATTGGGGAAGACCTCCTCCTCCTCCTCCTCCTCCTCCTCCTCCTCCTCCTCCTCCTCCCCTCCTCATGTTCATGTTCCTCCTCCTCCTCCTCCTCATCTCATGTTCCTCCTCCTCCTCCTCCTCTCCTCCTCCTCCTCCTCCTCTCCTCCTCATCGTCCTCCTCCTCGTCCTCCTCCTCCTCCTCCTCCTCCTGCTCCTCCTCCTCCCCCTCCTCATGTTCATGTTTCTCTCCTCCTCCTCCTCATGTTTCCTCCTCCTCCTCCTCCTCCTCCTCCTCCTCCCTCCTCTCCTCACGTCCTCGACATCCTCCTCCTCCTCCTCCTCCTCCTCTCCTCCTCCTCCTCCTCCTCCTCCTCCTCCTCCTCCTCCTCCTCCTCCTCCTCCTCCTCCTCCTCCTCCTCCTCCTCCTTTATATTCTTTCCTGATGCATGTCTCCTCCCTGTCGCACCCCGCCTGGGGAAAATCTTCATCATCGATCCCAGCTTCCCACCCCTCCTCCCCAACGTGGCCTCACAGCTGCCAACCCCATACACATGACCCCCAAGTGACACTCCCCGCTCCCCGCTCGGCCTTGGGAGAAACGGGTCCTGAGACAAACGGGTCAGGGGCACCTGAACAGGGCCCCATGGATCGAAATAGTGGAAAATAGTAGCTCCCGCCCCATCCTTTCGCGCTCCTGAATTGGCATGAGGCGGGCGGGCAGGACCCTCCTCCTTCTCCTCCTCCTCCTCCTCCTCCTCCTCCTCCTCCTCCTCCTCCTCCTCCTCCTCCTCCTCCTCCTCCTCCTCCTCTTCGTCCTCGTCCTCCTCCTCGTCCTCCTCCTCCTCTTCCTCCTCATCCTCCTCCTCCTCCTCCTCAACCTCCTCCTCCTCCGATTGCTCCTCCATGTGTTGCTGCTGAGTAAGTCGTCCCCGTCGCAGCCCGAGGCGCGTCGGTCGAGCCTAAAGTTTGCAAGCGTCTCGCGGATTTCAAACTATGGCCCTCGCCTTCGCGCCAGGCGCATGTGTTCCCAACATGTGCCAAAACAAGATGTTCAAGGATGGAGGGCGGTCCGTTTTCAAAACGTGGCTCTCGCTTCAGCGCCGCGCACGTTCGTCTGCAAACGCTGCAGGCGCTTCACGGATGCAGGGCGGCTTCTTTTGAACATGCAATTCTCGCCTTAGTGCCGCGCGCATTCATTTCAACACAATGGTCACCGTCCCAGGCATAATCTGATGGTGGCACGATCTCCGACTTCCAGGGCGCAACAATTGCATTGATTCGCGGTGCTGAGGCCCCAGGGATGATGCCATGGTACGATGAGGATCACCCGGACGCAGTAGTTGCGGCAATTCGCGGCGTTGGAAACCCAATGAAGGCGTTCTGGCACGATTCGGAACTTTCACACGGTTGTCGTCAATCGGGGCGCTGACCTCAGTGAAAATGAACCCTTGTAGGGGCGCATACAGAGGGACAGTGGAGGGAGGGTTTATGGCAATATCGTTGATGAGCCATGGGTTTGCACTGGTCCTCCTCCTCGTTCTCCTCCTACTCTTCCTCCTCCTCCTCCTGTTACCCCTCTTTCTTTGGCTTGCAAAATTGCTGCAGGCAGAAACAGCCCTCCAACCCATCCATCGCACTCAGCGTTGGGAGAAATACGCCCTAGCTTCTTGTTCATATTGCAGCAAAAATGCCATGTTGGATCAATGGCACTTCGCCGCGCAATGTCAGCCAATGACACGAATGGAACGGGAGAAAACCGTTCGCCCCAACGCGGGCGTGTTCATACTCGTAGCAAGAAGGCGGAAAGTAGCGACAGTGCCTCCTCCTCCTCCTCCTCCTCCTCCTCCTCCTCCTCCTCCTCCTCCTCCTCCTCCTCCTCCGCGCACTCCTCCGCGCACTCCTCCGCGCACTCCTCGTCCTCATACTCCTCTTCCGCCTGGTCTTCCTCATCGTCCTCCTCCTCCTCCTCCTCATCCTCCTCCCCCTCCCCGTCCTGTTTGTTCCAGCGGCTTCAAATCCAAGAGACCTCGAGACTCCTCCTGCCCCGCCCGCCCCCCTCGCCCCCCCGCGCGAGCGGTCGGAGCAGGGGGCGCGCGCGGGAGAAAAGAAGTGAGGATGGGCAGGATGAGAAGCAGGAAAAGGAGGAGGTCGACGACGACGAGGGGGGGCCAGCGGGGAAAGCCTTCAGGAAGGGGGGCAGAAGGAGGGCGCCAACGACGCGAAGGAGAGCTATAGGAAGGCCATGGCTTCGGCCATGGAGCTTACGCGGCCCGCCTCGCTGCAACAAGGCCCGGCGAGCAAACAAGAAATCGCGCGCCCAGAGGCGCGCGGGACAAGAGTGTGGAAAACGGCGATGGCTTCTTCTCCCCGCGAAGACGGCCGCCCCAAGGCGGGGCCCGGGCACAAACCAGGGAGCTGCAGCGGGGGGCGCGCGGACAGCGGCGCCACCTGGAAGCGCCGAGGCGGGGCCAGGTGGCCCAGCCGGGAGGGAGGCGCAGGACCTCGCAGGCGCGAGCCCGCGCCCCGCCGCCCTGCTTCGGCCGCCTCGAGCACCAGCCTCCGCAGCGCCGAGGGCAGCAGGAGGGCGCGGACGCACGCGGCGGCGATGTGGCGCGACGGGCGACAGACGAAAGTAGGCCGAAGGACTCATTGAACGAGTTCCGTCAGAGCCCGAGGTCGCTTCGTCGCGGGCAGGCACGGGTCCACGGGCAACGCTGGGGACACGGAGACGCGTCGGAGCACCGCGCGTGCATCTTCACGCTCGGGAGCCGCAAACAAAATGTCGCCGATCCTGCGAAAAACAACCGCGCCCCACGACAGGAAGGGACGCCGTTGTCTCGACTGGCCCCCCTCCGAGAGGAGGAGAAGGAGGAGGAGGAGGAAGAGGAGCAGGAGGAGATGGAGGAGGAGGAGGAGGAGGAGGAGGAGGAGGAGGAGGAGGAGGAGGAGGAGCGGGAGGAGGCGGCGGAGGAGGAGGAGGAGGACGACGAGGAGGACGAGGAGGCGGAGGAGGAGGAGGGGGGGGAGAAAGTGGAATAGGACGAGGAGGAGGAGGAGGACGACGACGACGTCGACGTCGACAGGCAACTCAACGAGCGCCTGGGCGCCCGAGACGAGGCGGTGGCGACGGCGGCCGCGAGCGGCGGGCGGCGGCCTCAACTCCGCGCACAGCGCGGCGGGCACGGCGCCGCGCAACCGCGCGATGCCGCTGCCGTGCAGCAGCTCCCGCCGCAGGCCCGCCACGGCCTGCGCTGGTCGGCGGCGCAATCCGAATCCTACTTCTAGCGGCGAACCTCCTCCTCCTCCTCCTCCTCCTCCTCCTCCTCCTCCTCCTCCTCCTCCTCCTCCTCCTCCTCCTCCTCCTCCTCCTCTCCTCTCTCCTCCTTCCCTCTCCTCCCTCCTCCTCCTCCTCCTCCTCCTCCTCCTCCTCCTCCTCTCCTCCTCCTCCTCCTCCTCCTCCTCCTCCTCCTCCTACTCCTACTCCTACTCCTACTCCTACTCCTCCTCCTTGATCCCTTTCCCTTACAAATCCGCCGATCCGGCGTCTGAGTTTCTGAGAGTGTGGGCTTGAGCTTGCTCAAGCTTCGCTCTGCAGGGGGGGGAGTCGACGCCATTTCCGACGCCATTTCCGACGACATTCCCGACGCCATTTCCGACGCCATTCCCGACGCATTTAACGCTCGCCGCCGCCGCCCCTTCCCCTGGCTCTGGCCCCAGCCCCGAGTCCGAGTCCCGGCCCACCAGCAGCCCTCGAAAGTGGCGACAGCTTCGCAGATCGCAGCCCCCCAGGGACGGCGAGGTCCCGTTCAGGTCCGCGCGGTGCCTCACTCCGCAGGACCCACCAGCAGCCCTCGAAGGTGGCGACAGTTTCGCAGATCGCAGCCCCCATCGTCGGCGAAGAGAGGGCAGGAGGAGGCGGGAGGCGGGAGGAGGAGGACGCGACCACACCCCTCTATTCAAAACGAATACCCAACCAAGGAGGGTTGGGAAAAATACGATTCTGAAATTACCCTGGCGACGTACCCAACCCCTGCGCAATGCGGGGCATGAGTAGTTTGAGAGACGTTATACGGAGGTGATGACGTGACATGGGCGCATATACTTCTGCCAGCGGCATTCGTGAGGCTCGCAGCACCCCAATGATTGCGATGTCCCGCTCAGATCTGCCTGGTGCCTCGCTCCGCTGGACCCACCAGCAGCCCTCGAAAGTGGCGACAGTTTCGCAGACCGCAGCCCCCCAAGCACGGCGAGGTCCCGCTCAGATCCGCGCGGTGCCTCACTCCGCAGGACCCATCAGCAGCCCTCGAAAGTGGCGACAGATTTCGCAGATCGCAGCCCCCCAGGGACGGCGAGGTCCCGCTCAGGTCCGCGCGGTGCCTCACTCCGCAGGACCCACCAGCAGCTCTCGAAAGTGGCGACAGCTTCGCAGATCGCAGCCCCCCCAGGGACGGCGAGGTCCCGCTCAGATCCGCGCGGTGCCTCACTCCGCAGGACCCACCAGCACAGCCCCTCGAAAGTGGCGACAGTTTCGCAGATCGCCCAAAGCCCCCCAGGGACGGCGAGGTCCCGTCTCAGATCCGCGCGGTGCCTCACTCCGCACGACCCACCAGCAGCCCCTCGAAGGTGGCGACAATTTTCGCAGATCGCAGCCCCGCAGGGACAGCGAGGTCCCGCTCAGGTCCGCGCGGTGCCTCACTCCGCAGGACCCACCAGCAGCCCTCGAAGTGGCGACAAATTCGCAGATCGCAGCCCCCCAGGCACGGCTCAGATCCGCGCAATGCCTCACTCCGCAGGGACCCACCAGCAGCCCTCGAAAGTGGCGACAGTTTCGCAGATCGCAGCCCCCCAGTCCGCGCGGTGCCTCACTCCACAGGACCCAACAGCAGCCCTCGAAAGTGGCGACAATTTCGCAGATCGCAGCCCCCCAGGGACGGCGAGATCCCGCTCAGATCCGCGCAATGCCTCACTCCGCTGGACCCACCAGCAGCCCTCGAAAGTGGCGACAATTTCGCAGATCGCAGCCCCCCAGGGACGGCGAGGTCCCGCTCAGGTCCGCGCGGTGCCTCACTCCGCAGGACCCACCAGCAGCCCTCCAAAGTGGCGACAGTTTCGCAGATCGCACCCCCGCAGGGACGGCGAGGTCCCGCTCAGGTCCGCGCGGTGCCTCACTCCGCAGGACCCTCCAGCAGCCCTCGAAGGTGGCGACAATTTCGCAGATCGCAGCCCCGCAGGGACAGCGAGGTCCCGCTCAGGTCCGCGCAGTGCCTCACCCCGCAGGACCCACCAGCAGCACTCGAAAGTGGCGACAATTTCGCAGATCGCGGCCCCCCAGGGACGGCGAGGTCCCGCTCAGGTCCGCGCGGTGCCTGACCCAACAGCAGCCCTCGAAAGTGGCGACAGTTTCGCAGATCGCAGCCCCCCAGGGACGGCGAGGTCCCGCTCAGATCCGCGCGGTGCCTCACTCCGCACGACCCACCAGCAGCCCTCGAAGTGGCGACAGCTTCGCAGATCGCAGCCCCCCAGGGACGGCGAGGTCCCGCTCAGGTCCGCGCGGTGCCTCACTCCGCAGGACCCACCAGCAGCCCTCGAAGGTGGCGACAATTTCGCAGATCGCAGCCCCCGTCGTCGGCGAAGAGAGGGCAGGAGGAGGCGGGAGGCGGGAGGAGGAGGACGCGACCACACCCCTCTATTCAAAATGACTACCCAACCAAGGAGGGTTGGGAAAAAGAACATCACTGATAGTCGAAAAATCTTGCCCAGGTCGTTTGTGTTGACTCACTTCGAGTGCCCGTAGAGGGACCTGCCCGACGCAACACTCTCGCAGGCGCAGGGCCCTCTCGACGGCGGCCGCGCCGGTCCCGACGGCGGGCTCGCGGGGGCCCGCGGGGGAGCCGCCTCGGGCCCCAGGCCGGCGCCCACGGCGAAGTCGTGTATGCCGCCCTGGCCCTGGCAGCCCAGCATGGCCGCGAGCGGAGCGGCCGGAGGAGGAGGAGGAGGAGGAGGAGGAGGAGGAGGAGGAGGAGGAGGAGGGGGAGTAATGAGGGGAGTTAGGAAGGGGAGGAGTAGGAGGAGGAGGAGGAGGAGAGAGGGAGGAGGAGGAAGAAAGGAGGGGGCGGAAGTGGGGCGGAAGTGGGGGGGGCCGTCGGAGGAGGCCCAGGGAGGAGCGGGCAGGCTAGGAGCAGGACGGGAGGAGGAGCAAGCGAAGGTCGGAGGGAGCAGGGAGGACGAGATCCCTCTCGTCCCTCCTCCGTCCTCCTCCTCCTCCTACTCCTCCTTCCACCTCACACCTCCTCCTCACTCCTCCTCCTCCTCCTCCCTCCTCCTCCTCCTCCTCGTCCTCCTCCTCACTCCTCCTCCTCCTCCTCCTCCTCCTCCTCCTCCTCCTCCTCCTCCTCCTCCTCCGCCTCCGCCTCCGCCTCCGCCTCCTCCTCCTCCTCCTCCTCCTCCGCCTCCTCCTCCTCCGCCTCCTCCTCCGCCTCCTCCTCCTCCTGGAAATCTGGTGGGAGCCTGCTTCTACGAGAAGGCGAGCAATACTCGAGCCAGAGGCAAGGTGTCCGGAGAAGGCCGCGCCGGACACATCCCCGAGAACGGCTGTGCTACGAGACGCAGCTGCCTAAGAGGCGCTTCCTCCAGCCGTGGGAAGGATGGTTTCTACACCCTCCCTCGGCCGCGACAGCAACACAAAAAGACGGAGGTGCAAACGTGGCAACGATACTTTGAGACGCATGGCGAATGCTGATATGTCACGTGCAATCCAAAGGAGGAAGACAGGAGACAGGAAGATAGCGAGAACGGGAGCAAACGAGACGGGAGGAGGGCAAGAGAGAAGGAGGAAGATTGAGGACACGACAGATTCAGCAGGAGGGGGAGGAGGGAGGAGCAGGAGGATTGGCAGGCGGATCCTGACAGGCGCGTCAGGCGGGCGGGACATTACACCGCGAGCAACTTGCAAGGAGGTCTCAGGCAAAAGCGCGATTCTTAAGTCGCTTGTGGGAGCATCCTGGGCGAGAACACGATTCCAGAGAGGAGGAGAACGCGAATCCTGAATGACTGAGTTGTTTTGCAGCCAGGGGCCCGATACCACTGTGTCAAACTGTGCTGTTGGGGCTCCCTAGGCTGTCCCCGAACAATGACGGGACACGAGCGCCCAACGCAGACTCAATTATCTGACCTCCCACAGTCGGACCTAGGACCTAGGACAGAAGAACATCCTTCAAGAACATGAGACCCTCCGCCGGCCAAATTGAAAAACATTCAAGGGTGCCCTCCCCCAGGATACACAATTTTTTATCTGCGGGGCGAGAGCGAGCCTCTTCCGCTAAAAGCTAGGCGGGCTACGCACAGCTTTAATTAGGGAGACAGGGCACAGGAAGGCGGGGCCTCCCCCAGGATACACAAGAACATCCAACAAACACGAAGCCCATTAGGATCCCCTCCCCGAACCGACCTCGATACTATACATCGGTCCGCCTGTACCGCCCAAGAGGATCAGCCAGCATTGATTCGGAAAATCGGATCGAATCGGAATGTAACCAGGATCGAACTGGATCGGCACGGAATCGGCATCGAATCGGATCGGCTGCGCCAGCATGCACGGCAGCACCATGCGAGCATCGGCCTTCATCGGATGGAATCGAATCGACCGAAATCGGTATCGAACCGGATCGACCGGATCGACGTGGGCCCTCTCGGCTCCCGCCTCCCGCCTCGTGAGCGTTTTCTGATTCGGCGCTTCGACAATTGGGCGGAAGGGGGAGAGAGGGGGGGGGTCTGGCTCTGGACCTCTGCTCAGTGCGGCCGTTTGCAGCAGTGCGTCCGATGGGGGGGCCTCCGCCCGCTCGAAAGAGGCGCCCAAAACAGCCAAGATCCGCCACGCCAGGAGGCCTAGAAATGGGCACCAACACCAACACGGGGGGGTGCCTCCACAGGAGGAAGATGATCCTAGAATTCGGTGTCGGTGGCAATCTTTCGGTCACCTTGGAAGCCAGAATATTACCACCATCACCGAGATCGGGATCTCCTTCCCTCGATGGAGGCACACCACCGACATTGGTGTTGGTGTCAACCTCTACGCCTGCGACATGCCTGGCCTGTTCCGCCTGCGCGCGCGCGCGAGCGAGTAGCCTCCAAACCGACGCGCCCGAGCGCGGCCACGCCCAGGGAGCGGGTCGGCAAGGGGCGCGACTGCTGGTGCAGGGGGGGGAAAAAAAGGAAAAAACAAAAAAAGAGGAAGGGGAGAGCAGAAGGAGGGTTATGTCGGGCCTGTCCCCCCGCAGGGGGATTTTCGACGAAAAATAAAAAAATACCCTAAGAATACCCCGAAAAGGTCAAAAGAAAATCAAAAAATGGTCCCCTGACTATTTTTGGATTAGTCTCTGATTATTTTTGGGGGTATCTTTTACTTTTCGTCGAAGATCCCCCTGTAGGGGGGACAGGCCCGACTCGGAAGGAGGGCCTCGCCGCGGGGCTCAGAGCTCGACCTCGTGCCCCTCGTCGGCCTCCGCCTCCTCCTCCCCGTCCTCGGGGGCCGCCGGGCGCCGTGGCCGCGGGCCCGGGCCCTGCTCGCTTGGGGGGGAGATGCGCTGCGGCCTCCGGGGGGGCGCCTCTCACCAGCCTCGAGCGTATCCCTACCCCTGAGATCGACACGCCAAAGGGCGATGACAATCTCAGGGATGCGCCCTCCAAAAATGAGGGGATCCCTAAGATTGGCGTCGTGATGAGGAGGTGCCCAGCATAGGGATAGGGATATGTTCCAGGCTGATAGGCCTCTGGGTCCCAGCAGCAATCAGCAAAACGACCCCCGATGGAACACCAGCCTCGGGGAGGGGGGGTCGAGGCCCCTAGGGCCCACGGATTGCAGGCGCCGAGGCGCAAGAGCTCCGGGTCCTCGGAGCCCTGATCGCCCTCGTCGCCCTCGTCCTCCTCGACGGCCTCGAAGAGCGCCTCCGGGGGAGCAGAGAAAAAGCTGCGCGAGCAGGACGCCTCGGAAGCCCGCGCGGACCTCCGAGGGATCGTGTCTGCAGCCGGAACGGGGGCGGAAGAGCATGTTACAAGAAGACAGGGCTGGACCTGAACATTGTTTTATGCTTTGGTTTCTTTTTGTTTGTTTTGCTCTGCCTGTTTTCCTGTGCCTACCTGCCAAAGCGCAAAACAACATACAGGCGAAGTCCAGCAAGACAGCGTTCAGGTCCAGCCCTGCAAGAAGATGAGCCCCTCCACCAGCAAGGAGACCCAAAAACACGAGGTCACCGAGGGTGCATTCCGAGGAGTCATCCGACTCTGACCCGCCCTGCATATCTAGGAAGCCATGGTGAGTCCCTGGCCCGAAGCCTTAAGCATTTGGTCTGGACACTCAACCCTACGCCCACCAGTCCCAGGCTCTTCCCAACAAAAAAACATTCGAGGGTACCCTTCCCCAGGTTACATTATCATAAAAAAAAAAAAAAAAAAAAAAAAAAAAAAAAAACGAGAACGGCAGGTATCCTCACCCTCGCTCCGACCGCCGGCCGCTTTGGGCCCTTCGAGCCTCGTCCTCCTCCTCCATCCTCTGCCGGGAGCCCACGGCGTCCACGTTGGCCCGAGCCGGCTTCTTCGGCGGCGGCGGCTTCGGCGTCGGGGACGCGGACGGCCTCCAGGGCTCGGGCGTCACGACCTTGGCCGGCTTCGACGGCCGCGTCTTTATCCTGGCGGGAGCAGCCCGCAGCCGAGCCGCTGCGGGCCGGCACGCGCGGCGGATCGGGCCGCACCGGGTCCAGAGTCGGAGGCGCAGCGGGCCCCGCCGCGCCGGCCCGCCGCGCAGGGATGCCCCAGAGGGCGGCTTCCAGGGCTCGGGCCAGGTGGCGGCATCCGAACCCTACCCTCGCCAACCATCGATTCTCCTTCCGAAACCCTTCTCGAGGGGCGTTTTGGGAAGGCTTCCAGGAGGAAACCCTCCTGACACCTTCCTGAGGAAGGTCTTTGGACGGTTTTTTTAGAATCCTCAAATAAACCTTCCACTAACACCGTCCTGAGGAAGGTTTTTGAAGCAGGGGTAGGAGTCGGAGTTCGCCACATGTTGGACGAATACCGAACCCTACCCCAGCCGCACATTGAGTTGCCCGAAGCGTTGGATCGGCGAGTGCAAGGTTCCGATTTCGCCGCCAACGGCAGTCACGAACTTAGCGAGCTTCGGCGGCCGCGTCCTCATCCTGGCCAGAGCAGTCAGCGCCGAGCCGCTGCGGGTCGGAACGTGCATCTTGTGAGGAGAATTCTGGAGGCCTCGCCCAGCAACTTCAGACCCAGTTTACGTCTGATCCGCGCCAGATAGGAACAAGGGAAGGCGACACCAACACCAACAGGGCGAGGAGATGCGAGGAGGCAAGGGGGAACTCCCGGGTGGTGTGGTCCCCCCCTCTCGCTCGAGACATCCCCAGCCTCCAGCTCGGAGAGGCATCGTGGACCTCCTCGCTGGCGGTGGGCCCCCTGGTGGTGCTGGCATCGCTTCTCCTCCTTCAGAGCCGGACTCCCTGCGCCCATGCGCCAAAACCGTGCGTGGACGGCGCATGGACGCTGGACGACGCATGGAGTCTCGGCTCTGGCGGCGTCGGTCGGCGGCGAGCCCGCGGGGGCAGCGAAGAGGGGCGGGCCCTCTCGGAAGGCTCGGGGGTCCCCCGGCCTTCTGAGAAACGCTCTTGGCTTTCCACGGGAAGCTTTTCAGAAGGCCGGGGCGCCTCCGAAAAGTCCCGCCGCCCTCTGAGAGGGCCGTCTCCTTCTCACTTCCACCCCTCGCTCGCCGCCGAGTAGATATGATGCACCGTCCCACTCCTGGAGGAAGAAAAGAATCTCAAGAACATAAACTGTTGGAGCTCCAGGCGGATTTCTTGGGTCTGCGCCAAACCCCCGGCCCTGGCGCGCGAAGCGCGCCAGGGGCGGCGCCTGAGGCGCCGCCAGGGGGTTCCAGGCGACGACCCCAGCAGTCCGCGAGGAGCAGCGAAAGCTTACGTTTATGCAGTCGAAGATCGACCGCGACTCGGGAGAGGCCAACGCGGTGCGATTCTCACAAGTCGCACGCGGAGGAGAGGCAGCTCTCCCGGGCCACACCCCATCTCGAAGAAAGAATGTCCTCGATCCTCGACGCTCTCCTCGGGGCCTCGCGCGGCAACCCGAGGCCCAATTTGCGTGGGCTCCGCGTCTGTTTCACTAGAGGGCGCAAAAACTGCATCAGTCTAAACTTTGGGAGCTCAGCGCGGATCTCGTGGATCTGCGCTGGGGCCCCCTAGCGGCGCCTCGGGCGCCGCCCCTGGCGCGCTCCCCGCGAGCCAGGGAGGGCGCAGATCGAAGAAATCCGCGCGGAGCTCCCAAAGCGCATGTTCGTGCAACTTGTTCTCCTCCGAATCACGCCGGACTTGCGTCGAATCATCGCCGCGCGAACGACGCTTGAGAGCAGCAAGCACTGAGCCGCTGGCTGGCCGGGATGTGCAACTCGGAGGCAACTACAAGGGGTGCGTACATCAGGGGGGCCACATGCGAACCCTACCCCAAGCCCCCACGATTTCTGAGAGATCGTGGGGTGTAGGGGTAGGGTTCGCACGTGGCCCCCCAATATCCCAACCTAGCGAAGTGAACCCCACCCTCCCCCTAGTGGAGTGAACCCCACCCTCCCCCTAGCGAAGTGAACCCTACCCCTACCTACTGTCCCACCCCAGCGAAGTGACCCCCCACTATCCCACCCCAGCGAAGGGAACCCTACCCCTAACCCCACCCCTTAGCGAAGTGAACCCCACCCTCCCCCTCAGAAAATCGTCGGGGGTAGGGGTACTCCAGATTTCGTAAATAAAGGGAGGGGGGTCTCATTTCGGGAGGGGGCCTCTTCCAGGCTATCTTGGAGGGCCTGGGGGGTCTGGGGACGATGTCTTGGAGGGTTCTCCCACGGGGGAGGTCTGAAAGGGCTTGTCTTGGAGGGCCCAGACCCCCTCCCTTTCATCACGAAATCTCGAGCAGGGCGCGCACGTGGCCCCCCCCCAAGAATCGGGGGAGCCCCCCAAGAAGCAGTGCGCCGCCCACGCCGCGGGGTGGGCCGGCGGGGCCCCCCCGGGGGCCACCGCGCGGCTCCTGGGACCTGGGAGGCCGCGCTCCGAGAGCGCCGCGGGGCGACCGGGCCCCCCCCCCCCCCCCAGGGGCCCCAGCAGCGCGCGGGCGACGGGCCGCGCGGGGAGGTCGCCAAGGGTTGCGCAGGGGCCGACCGTCCCGGCATTCCTACAGTCCTACCACGACGGCTTCCCCCACCCGTTGTTCCTCTGCATGCCCCCCCCCACTTCCCTGATCACCTCAACTACCCTGGGCATCGTTTCTGGACGGGCTAGTGAGGATACGCGAAGCGTCAACCATCTCGAGGCCAGACCAGCGGTAGCGACGAGGACCTCCCAGGAGGTCCACAGCGGAGAAAACAAAGGAATGGTGGTATGGTTGAGCAGGGGCCGACCGTCCCGGCATTCCTAGAGTCCTACCAGGAAGTGTTCTTAGAACCCAAAAATGTTCTAAGAACAGAAACAATGTGCTTAGAACATCAACCCGATGTGCTAAAACAGGACAGGCTCCGCCAGAAATGTTCGAAGGACAGGTCGTGCCAGCCACAAGAGGTTCTTGGAACAGTGCTCGGTAGGGCTATATAGGCGGGCCAGGACGCTTAGTCACTGCTTGAGAGGGAGTGCCGCGGGGGAACCCCCGGGCGGCCCGTCACCACACGGCCCAGAGGGGGGGGGGGGCCGGGTTTCTGAGGAGGGGCGTCGCGGCCAGCGCGCGGCCCGGGCTTCGTGTGGCCCGGGGCACTCGCGCGGCCGCGGCCGCGGGGGGGGGGAGCGCAAGGGACGCGTCGAGAGAAGAAGAAGCACGGTCAACCAGGAGAAGACGATGATTCACCAAAAGTGGGCCCCTGACCCTTTGTCGGGCGTTGGTAGAACTGGGTTTGGTGGAACCTGGTTTAGTGATCTGTACCGGGGGCGCCCCCCCGTCCCATTTTCACTAACCGGAACTGCCGCCACCCGAAAAAACACAAGCTATGGCAAACCTGGTTTAGTGATTCTGGCCAATTCGAGGGCTCCGGGGCCCTACCACTAACCGGGTACCCTTACCAGGGGTCCTGGCCATACGCGACTTTGCGAGGGGGCCCAAGCTAATAGGGCCAAGGACATCAGGGACAGAGGGGGTCGTTTCCTTCTGCAGGTGTACCCGACCAAACCGCCCAGAAGTACTATCGCTAATGCGAAGACGGGGACCCAAGTGAGGTCACGTCTTCATCGTGTGATACGGGTAAGGCGTTCTTTTTGATCTCGATGAGAAGAGGGGCCATGAAATCCAGGAGCTGTCATGACACAAGCCATGATATCCGCCCCTGGGGGCCCCTCCAATCATCACGCCCCCCTTGGATGGGACGCACAGAAACATTATGATACATTTCGTCCTCCTGGGATGCGCGCGCCCGACCCGAGCATTCAGCACACCCAGAAGCGCATCGCTTCCCGAGCGGCGCGGCCAGAAAGCGCCCCCCGCCACGGCGCATATACTACAGGATTTCTCGGTGCGCGCGTCGCCCCTGGGGGGGGCGACACACAAATAGTGAGAGTCGTATGTTGGGATGGCGCCGATTGGACCCCCGCGAGCATGGAATCGGGCCACATCGGCACGGAGTCGGAATCTCGGGGGCGGCCAAGAGGGGGGCGGGGGCGCAAATCATGGCCAGCGGCATGTGCGCGGCCTAGGGGGGGGGGCCAGGGACGCATTGAAATAAAAAGAGGCGCCATGAAATCTGAGGAGATATCATGGCCCCCGTCATGATATCCCCCCCCGAGTCATTACCCCCCTCTTGGCCGCCCCCGAGGAATCGAATCGAGCCCGCCGCGCCAGGATACAGTGGAGGCCCGACCAAAAGAAACCTTTCACAGGAGACCCAACCCTGAGACCCCAGGGCGTCCATTGACTTTTGGGTGTGGGAGCGCCACTCCCTCCACAGCAAGACCATGGAAACCCGAGAAACCCAGGGCACCCTGGAGGCCAGCAGGGTGCTTCCGGGCATGGGTCCCACTGTGCACCCGCCGGCGCGCGGCGGTACCCAGGCCGCGCCGGCTCGCTGGCAGGCTGGGGCCAAATCGGACCGAGCGAGGGACAGGTCCGCCTCGTGTCGGACTCGGGCCTCCAACGGCGCGATGCGTTCCATGCGCAGCCCCCGCGACTTCTGGGCCCCCTTCGCACTCCCTCACTCGAGCCATGCGTCGAGTCGGCACGACGACCTATTTCGGTCATCGCGCGGGAAAGAAAAACTAACACGTTAACAGCACGAGGGAAGGGAGGCGAGGACACCCAAGTCGGGCATGGGCAAGACTGGGCTTACTGTGACCTGGTTAGGCGATGCGTGCTTGGTGACGCCCCCCCCCGCCCGACTCCGCGAACTAAACTGCCGACGCCCGAAAAACACTGGTTATTGCAAACCTGTCTTAGCAATTCGGGCATAAGTGTTGGCTTCGGGGCTCGTTCTATCAGGGCTCCCCTCACCCGGGGCCCCTGGCTATACCCGACCAACAGCCGATCGATCGCGGGGAGCCCCGTCCTGGGCGGCACCGTGATGGGCACCAGGCCTTCCTGCTTCGCGCAGGCGGCCAGGAGGGAACTCGCGGAGGAGGCGTCCAGGGCGTCCAAAAATCTGCCCACGTGCGTCTCGTTGCTGGAAAAGTTCCCCTCCCTCCTCAGAGGAGGCAAAGGGAGCTGCAGAAAAGCAAACTGTCGACGGTTCGCGAGGATGTCTTGGATCTGCGCTGACCCCCCTCCCTGGCGGGCGAAATGCGCCAGGAGCGGCGCCGGAGGCGCCGCCACACGGGTCCAGCACAGGTCCACGAAATCAGCGAACACAATCGAAACTTTATAGTTGTGCCGTTTTTTCCCCTTCGGTTCCTGGCGAGGCAGAGGACGTCGGCGCTTTTCTGGCCTTTTTCCTTCGCTGGCCGGGTGGCCATCACCTGCACGTGACAGGGAGGGAGGCATCCACGCCTCTGGGGCCATGTTCCCGGCCCGAAAAGGCGGCGGAATCCACGAGCCCCCGCTCTCTACCATTCGCGATGGCGCCTGTGACCGGCCCCGCCCCCCCCCCCGTCCCCGAACACGAAACCAGGACGAAGGCCAATTCGCGCGAGGACCACTCGAGAATCTCTGAAATCGGGCTTCTGGAGGATATCTTGGACGCCGCGCCCTTCTCAAAACGTTCCGGAAAGCTGTAGGAGCGTTATGGAAGGCTCTGGAACGGATACATTCTCGCCCCAGCCCCGTCCGATCCCTCCTTCCCCTGGCGCAGGCGCCGTCTGGGAATGAGCCATACTTAAATATTCCCAAACGGCGTCAGCGCGAACAGTGGCGTGACAAGCCCCCCCTTCACCCCGCGACGGGCTCAGTGAGATCCCGAAAGGACGACTCAAATCCCAACACCACGGTTCCGATCCCAACGAGCAAAATAAACGGAACGGTCCAAATCTCAATGGCCAAGAACAACTATGTGTAGAGTTACTATTGCGTGGTAACCTTCGCAATGGCAGCCAAACGATTTCCATTAAAGGAACTCACTCAATGCGCTGTTGGGGGGCAAGCCACCCCACACCCCGATGATTTGCAGTTTCTGAATTTCCCACGACGGCCCAATTAAGCTCAAGGCACCCAAAACGGCACCATCTACGAACGCATACGACGCGTATACGAAACGCACGCGAAACTTCGATGGAACTGAGATGGAACGAGTGCTAAAAAGACGACGTATATACGAAACGTATATGGGCCACCTGCGAAACGTATACGAAGCGGCCACACTCACACACACCATGAATGAAACGCAGCGCAGGCGAAGCATAGCCGAGACGTATATGAACCACAAACGAAACGCATGTGAACCAGAGCGACACACGTGTGGAACGGATGCAAAATGTACACAAAACATATCAGGGCACAGGTTTGTTTAAAACGCACATGAAACGCAGCTGAAACGTAGATGGATCGCACATGGCACGTGACAGACATGCATGTGCAAGTGTACGGAACGTGGAAAAAACGTATACGGCACGTACATGCAACATATACAAGACATATACGCAACCGAGGTTCAACGTTTTCGGATCGTACACGCACGCACATGCAACGTACACGAAACCTACATGCACAGTAAGTCCAGCGCAAATGAAACCAGTAAACATCACGTATACGAATCGCACACACACAACGTATACAACAAAAAAGAGAAAGGTATACACAACGTATCCGCAGCGCTTACAAAACCGAATCCGAACGCAACGGAACGTACACAAAGCGAATACGAAACGCACACGATACGTATACGCAGCTTAGCTAAACCTCAGACATAGCGCAAACGAAACGCAGGCAACACGCACACGAAACGCGCGCAAAACGTATACGAAAGTACGCGGAGCGTACACGCAACGTGCACGGAATACTCAATAAACGCACGTAAATCTTGTACACAGCACACACGAAACGTGAACAAAACGTAATATACTGCACACACGACATTACTAAACGTACCGAAACGCAGAGTAAACGCGCACAACACGCATCAACATACCCAGCACGCACACGGAACACAAGCGATACTGCTGCGAAACGCTAACAGGACACTGGCAACACGTATCAAGCGAATGTGTACGAAACGCACATGAAAAGCAAAGTAGCAGACAAAAGAAAGCAGACCGCATGCACTACGCGCACGCGGCGGAAATAAAACGCGCACAAGACGCTAACGAAGCCCATGCACAACGTAAAAGGAAAGTGCACGACACGCACACGGATAGCATACAAAACATAAAAACTTCACACACAACATGTACGAAACGCACGCCGAACGCATACGCAACGCACGCAACACGCACATGCAGCGCACACGGCACCCACGAGCACTGCGAAGAAACATGCCTTTACCAAATGCACGACGCTTGAAAAAAAAACGATAACAGAAACATCCAAACAACAACTTCCTATACAACACGCACCGCGATCGTTTCCAAAACGCACCCATGCGGACTCACGCCGGCCAAAAATTCGCACGCGAAACGCACGCGCGCCGCACGCAACACACACGCTACGCGACCACAACGCGGCGCGGCAAATGCGGGGGCGATCGGAAGGCCCACGCGGGCCTCAAAAATTGCGGCAACCAACGGCAACTTGCGGCCGGCAGCAAAGCAACCAACGGCAACTAGCGGCAACTAAGGGCGGCGGAACCCCGACTAGGACGCCCGAAATAAGCACGGAAAAAATGAATACAATGCCCAACAACAAATGTTTCCCCAAACCGACAGCGGCCGCTGTTGGGCAGGCGGCCTTCTGCCTCAAATTGACACAGGCCGCGGCGGCGCGGACAGCGAGTCCTGTTCAAAAATGAACAGGAACAGCTGTTGGGCATTGCACCCAGTCTTTCCGCGCCCATTTCGTTCGCGCAGATCTGGGCAGCGCCGCCAATCCGACTCCGCGCCGCCGGCCCCGAGACTGGAGGTCTCCCCCCACGCGCGCGCGACATGGGAAGCGCGGGCGCTCTCGCGCCGCGGCGCAACGGAGGTCGGGGAAACGCCGGCCTCTCGTCGCCCTCAAAGAACCACTATGTCGACGCCCCCACGCGAGGCCCACGACGGCCCACGGGAATCCCATGACGTCGGCAAAGGGCGCCGAGAGGGCCCCAAAACGGCGGCCCGAAATGGCCCCCAGGACAAGCCCCCACGCTCCAGATGGCCCAGAAACTCCCACAATCGGCCGAAGAGGCCCCGAGACCCCGCGAGACGCAGCCAAGAGGCCCCCGACAAGGGGCCCCCGAGAGGCCCCAACTTCCACGGGAAAGCGGGGCGCTCGAAAGTCATGGCCCGCCGGCGGGGCGGCGGCGCGGGCGCCCCTGCTGCGGCGGGCCTGCGCTGACTGACCACTCGCATCGCGCCGTCATCCTTCATGGTGCTCCACGCTCATTACTGACCTCGTCGCCCCCCCCCACCCACCCCCCTTGCGCCCGCCCGCCCCGGCCCGGGCGCCGGGCGCGGCTCCGGGAGACGCAGCGACCCGCGCCGGGGCCCGCGCGCAGACGAGGGAACTCAACGCAGGGGCAGCTGCCAGGAGCGCGCAGCGCTCGGGGCAAGCTGCAGGCCGGGCGACACGGGGGGCGCGGAGATGGAAGAGAAAGAGAGGGGGAACCTGGAACCGGAGCAGGAGCAGGGCCAGGGGGACGGGGCGCAGGGGGGGAGGGACGACGAGGGAGGGGGGGGCGGGGGCCAACATCCAATTGTACAAACGAAACGAGACGCTCCATCTTTTCGGGCGGCAGCCCCCTGCACTGGCCACCACTGCCACGGACGCCCACAGACAGGCGCGCGGGCCGCGCCCCGACGCGAACGGTTCGCGGCGGGTCGCGGCCCGCGCGCGGCGAACCCCTTCGAAACGAAAGCGGGATGCACTCGAGCGAAACTGCCGCCGCGCATCTCGCGCGCGGAGGGGCGCCCCCATGCAGGCCTTCTCGCCCCCTCTGCTCGGCGCCGCTGAAATGCTCTTCAAGAAGCTCTGGCCCCCGAATGCTTTAAACGCAAATGGGTTTCACTCGGCGCCCGGGGGGCCTCGCATGGCCCCCGAGACCCCGCGAGAGAACCCCCAATGCGGGCGCCCCATCGGCCTTCCGAGAGCAGAGCAGAGCAGCAGAGCAACGGCCCGCAGGGAGGCGGCGCGGGCCCCCTCCCGGCAGCGCGCCGGGCCGGAAAATAAATCAGCGCGGCGTGAAAAATATCCGCGGTGCGCGAAACAGATGAGACAGAACAGGCGGCGCCTGGCAAGGATCAATCACGCCGGCGTCTGCGCTGGGCCCCTACGCTTCGACGCGCGTGCACTCGAAACCACGGCGCCCACTTCATCGGTCGCGCGCCCCATCGTTCATCTTTCACTGCTGCAAGTTTGACGGCAGCCGACCACTTGCTTTTCCAGAGGACGTCTGTCCAGTCCTGGGCCCCATGTCTCCTTGCGAGCGACTCGCACACGGCCGTTGCCCTGCGCGCGCATTCCACCCATTGCTCGTCTGGCTGGCGCCCCACGCCGACCATGTGTCGCAGCACCTTCCTCTGCGCTGCGCGAAGGCGCCCCTCCTGCTCGGATGTCAAAGTCCAAGCAGCACAACCGCGCACTGCGCGGGGCACAACGGCGGCTTGAAAGAGCCTCATACGATCACGAAGGGGCGCGTGACGATTGCATAGTATACCCTTCTCGCTGCGTAAAGATGCCCATGCAGACGAGATGCGGTTGCGCTCCACCCCGTGATAATCGTCCATGGTGATATTGCGGCCAAGGTGCTTCCCCGCCTCTCCTGGCTGCAACGCTCGCACATCGGCGCCGGCGCATCGGGTGGTTGCCGGCCTCGTTGCTGAGTTGGTTACATTCACGGTTTCGCCCATGCGCAGTTTCAGGCCGTACTTCTTCGCTTCGGTCTCAAGGTCCGCGATCATGCGGCCCACGCCCCTCTCGTTGGAGGACAGCAGGAGCACGTCGTCGGCAAACCTCATGCTGCACGCGCGGCTTCGCACTCCAGCAGCAACAGTAGCCGATTGCACTGCGCACAGCCGTCTTAGTAGGTCAATGAACTCTTCCAGGACGTTCTGCTTCTCTAGTGCTGACCAGAGAGTGCCATGCTCCACTGCGTCCAAAGTCTTCTCGAAGTCCACCATGCCAACCCACAAGTGGGCATTGTAGTCCCTCGTGGCCTCATGCATGGAAGTTGTGCACATCAAATGATCCACGGTGCTGCGCCCTGGGCGATATGCCGCCTGGTCCACGGATTGCTCCCGGATCACGTCCTTCCGCAGTCTGCTGCAAACCAGTCTACTGAAGAACTTGCACAGGACGGCGAGGATCGCGATGGGCCTGTAGTTTGACGGAAGCGAGGCGGCCCCCTTCTTGTAGATGACGGAGATTCTGGCTGATAACCAGTCCGCCAACTGTTATCAGTAGGGCTTAGCAGCGGGTTGACAGTTTCAATGATAATTTCTCGCAAAATCAACGAGTCTACCTTGAAAAATTCTGCTCGCACGCCTTGATCGCGCGCCGTCTTGCCGTTCTTCATATCTCGAATTGCCGCGGCAAGCTCCTCTTGCGTGAACGGGGGGGTCAAGTTGCCAGATTGCCTGCCGTAGACGCGCTCTCTGCATCCTTCTCTGGTGCTCGCGTAGAGGTTCCCGAAGAAAGTCGCAAACACCTCGGCGATCTCTTCGCGCTCGCGCAGAAGCGCGCCGCCCGGGCCCTCCATCGAAATGACGTGGTCGCGCTTGCGGTTCGCCCGCATGCCCTACAGGTGTTTCACTCCTTTGAAGTCGGCCAGAGTCGTCTCGATCTTGCTGAGCATGGTTTCATTGCGCCGGCGGCGTATCAAACTCTGCACGCGTTTGCCCCAGTCTTTGCGGATCTCCTTGTTGAGCAAAGCTGGGAGATCTGATTCTTGCAGCCGGCGGCGTCCGGGGATCAAGGAATGGATCTGCTCGTCCAGTTCGGTCATGCCGGCGTCAGCACGGCGCTTCTCAGCGCCGTGCGCGTCCTCTTTTGCGGCTAGGAGCGCGCTCCTGGTCAGCAAATCGACTCGTTCGCGCAGCGCGGCGCTGCGCCAATCAACACGGCGAAATCGCTCTTCTGGCAGCGCAATGTATGACGACCCAGGAGACCAACGATGATGACGCACTTCCCTGTCTGATTTTGTCCGGGATTCTTTGGGCAACGCCAGATCCAAGCGAACTGGCCGAGGATCAGAACCCACATGAACAACGGCGGAACCAGCGCAGGAAGACACTATAGCCATTGTTCTCTTCTGCGCGAGAATGCAATCAAGCTGACACTTGCGGTCGGCGTTCTTGAAGGTCCAAGCGCCCTCGAATGTAGCGATGTAGACTGTGTTAGCGATGGCATAGCCGCGAAGAGCTGGCCAATTTACCAGCGTCGCGCCCCTGTTGCTTCTCTGCGGCGCACGTATTTGACCGACGAACTCCTTGTCATCGCATTCCGTGCATGGCCCCACTTCAGCGTTGAAGTCTCCTGCGAAGATCACGCGGCACCCTTTTGTGCTCGCTGCCCGGCCGCGAGCCCCCATCTGAGCAGATACTGCCTCCACGTCTTCCTCAGGGAGCTTCGCGCAGTCCTTGCAGACAGCCACCGCGCGGACGGCACCAAAACCGGCCACGTACAGGTCCAGCGTCGCCACTCTATTTGAAACTGGCTGAAAACACGCACGCCCCCATCGCTGGCGCAGAAGGAACCCAACCCCGCGGGAGCGCGACGCCCCTCCACCCCCAAACCAATGGTGGCCTGCTTCTAGCTCCCAAGCTTCCTTCGGCTCCTCTCTCCAGGTCTCAACGAATACAATGAGGGGCCAGTGCTGCTCTCCGATCTCTGCTAGACAGCGGCGGATACGATCGTCAAAATGCATCAATTAATGGACGTTGTATTGCAAATCTGTGAATTGGAAACAATCACCGATTTTGAATGCGAGAGCGCTCCTTTCCAGCGGCGGAGCGTGGGCCACGGGCTCGCGGCGGAAGGCGGCTGCCAGTGGCAGCAAAACAATACCATGGCCTCTCGAAATCCTTGTCGAGAGCAAGTCACACAAACGCTGACTGATGCATGCTATGATATGCTATGATATGCGGCGGGAGTGGATCTTTAGCAATGCTGAGCAGTCTGGTCTGATATCGGCGCTGCGCCGGCTCGCAAGAGGGGCCCCTCAAGACTGTTGAGCAAAAACGGCCACGCAACAGCGCACGCATGAGGGGCGACAGAGATGGGACCGAAAAGGCCCTGACACGAACTGACAGGCAATGGGCGCGCAAGGAAACCGGGCACGCGGTTCAGACTGGCAAATTTCTTTTGTTGCCTGGAAATTCGACTGCTGCATTAAACGAAAAGCTCTATCACGGGATTCATCATCCATTGTACAAGGGTCTCGCGAAGCCCATCCGAGATCTTGGTCAGCAGATCTGCAATCATGTTCGTGGTGGGAGCCCACCGCATGGAGCCTAAGCCGAGGTTCGTCCGAATAGACAACACGTCCTGAAGGGCGCGTTTCTCGTCGAGGCTAGGATTCTCCTTCGTGGCACAATCATACAAACTCCTGCAATCGGCAATGGCAAAAAAGGGGCACAGCTGGCGGCCCGCGGACTGAAATCCGCGAAGAAACGCATGAATCACCGGTCAAAACTTCACTCAAATAGGTCGATGGGGTAGAAGCCGCGGTCGACGGATGCGTCGGCGGCGCAAGCCTCAGCTGCTAAAGTAGATCGGACGTGGCGCTGCGTGCGGACAAAGCGCCAGTCAGCAAGAGAAGCCGGCGCTGATCCCGTCAGCGCCTTACGGTCATTCCAGACCACCATCGCAACCGTCTGGCTCTTGAGCTGCTTCGCGCTGGCACAATTTGAATCGCCGAACGCGACGGCGACCACGTCAATGCGGTCGCTGGCGCTGAACAGCCGAAGCGGCTGCATGGTAACACCCACCTCCGGCGTGGCCAGCAGGTGCTCGATCGTCTAGCACTCTCCGTTGAGGCCGGCGATCTGCGGATCCCCATTCTGAAGCAGTGAAACGTAGGCGGGGACGTCCAGACGGCAAATCCCTGAAAGCCACTGCCCACTTCCGACACAGCTCCTCATCTCGGTGCGCTCGGCGCTGGTCTGCGAACCCCCTTCGCGAATGCGGGAGGCTGGAATACGGCTTCTGGGCGATAACCACGCGTCCGTCCTCGCACTGGTTGATCTCCCGGCCGCGCCAACGGAGCTCGGCGGGTTGGGAGTCCACCTTCTCGCACGCGAAGGCCTTCTCCAGTTCGGAAAAGTTGAACAGCTTCTTGGAGGAGACTGCAAACATGTCGTCCACGTACCAAAAGACAATCGCGACCAGTCGGTCCCTGTCACCCTTGAGGAAGCACATCACGTCGAGGCTGCGGCTCACGCAGCCGAGCTGATACATCTTGCGTCGGACGCGTCGGCACAGCACCTACGGGGCGTCGGCAAAGCCGTAGATGTTGCCAGTCACTCCGCACAACGAGCGGGGCCAGGCGCCCGTCGCGATCACAAGCGGGTCGCGCGGAGGTACGAGGTGGACCTCGTCGCCCCACTCGCGGCCCCCCTGGGAGAAGCTGTTCTCGAGGTCGCCGACGCAGGCGGCCCAGTCGTTCTCCGACTCGCGCACCTTCATGGAAGCCAGGATCTGACAAGCGGCGAAGAAACTGATGCGCTGAATGGCAGGTGATCTCCCCTTCAGCGCTCCCAGCCGGGGATCGCCGCAACCCACGGCGATTCCACGGCATTTGGCAGCAAGTTCTCCTTGGCCGCACTTCTTGTCTCGATAACAGCACCGGCCTCGGACGCACTGCTTGCGAATCTCTGGCAAGTTGAGCACGCCTTAATTGCGCGCGCTCCTCCGGAACGGGAACCATCGGCGCCCACTCGACCCAAATGCTGCATTCCTTACGCGTCACCACCAGGAAACACTGCAGCGATGCGCCGTCCATGTTCATGATTTCTCTCCACGGGGCTTTCTGGCCGCAGGCCTTCCTCGGCGCGCGGGCCACGTGGTGCAACGGGGCGCTGTCGTCCTCGTCATCGGAGTCAGGCATGAGCTTGAGCTCGCGCGGCTCGGCGGCGGTCGCGCTCGCCCGGTAGAGGTCGCGCTCTTCGGCCGCGATCTCCTCTAGCACGTTCGGGTGCGAGCTCGTCCCCGATGCCCTGGAAGTCGGCCGCGGCGTCGCCCGAGCCGCCGCTGCCGCCCCCAATCTCGCGCGCCCAGAAAGTAGTCACCAGGGGCGCAAAGGGTCGAGATGCGCGGGCGCTTCTCCTCGGGCGGCTCGGCTCTCGGAGGCGGCGACGGCTCGACGGTGCGCTGCCGCGTGGGCTTGTCCTCCTGGCCCGGCTCGAACTCCTCGGACGAGATGCCGTCGTCGCCGTCCTCCTCCATGGGCTGGGCCGGCTGGGCGGGCTCGGCGGCGTCGGCAGGGCTGGGCTCGCACCCCATCTTGGTCTCGCCCGGCGGCGCCTCATGCGGATCCGGGCGGGGCACCCCCGATCGGCGGCTCGGCCGGCGCGGGGGCTGCGCTGCTAGCGGCGCCTCCGACGGGCGGCCCAGCTCCCGGTGGATCGGCGTCTGCAGGACGCGGCGGAGCAAGCCCGGCGGCGGGGGAAGGTAGCTCGCGACCGTCGCCTACGACGATGTCCGGCTCCTCGCGCAGGCCCCCCCCCTGAGGCCCAGCGCCCCGCTCGCCCTCCCAGAGGCCGCCCCGCATGAGGTCGCAGCTGCTTTCAAGTGCCTCGATGTCCTCGGGATCGGGGACCCACTGCGCGAAACCGATGGCGGGGCGCAACTGCTCTCTGCTGAATAGCTCGATGGTCTGGCCCGCCCGGACCCAGGCGTTGCGGCCGACGCCGTGCCCTTGTTCGCCGCCGTCCCACTGGAGGAACGCTCCGATGACAAAACCTGGCCGAGCGGACTTCCCGCCCGGACGCTTCTTCGCATCATTGCGCCAACACCCGACCTGCTGGCCGGCCACGAGCTTGTCTAGGTCGCAGCGCAGGTGACTCGTCTTGCGAAGGAGCGACTAACGCACCTGCTGCTCGTAGTTGAAGTGGGTGGTGTGGATGTCGGCCTCCAGGCGGCAGTAGTCGCCGTTCACCAGGTGCTGCGCGTTGGCGGCGTTGGCGGCTACAGCGAGGCCGCGGTCGCATGACGGCAGTTCTCCAGGAATACGGGGAGTCCGGCCGAGGGCACACTGGTTGGCGGATCGCGCGGCACGGCGAACGGCGCTGTTCTTCGCGTCGCTGACAGCGACCGTCGCCACGTCGACCTCCCCGGGCGTCTGGGCCGCGCAGCAGTCACAGGTGCGGTCCCAGATCAGATCCATCTCCATGTGGCGTTGTAGCGCTTGATGGCCCCGATCGGCCAGCGGGCGTCTGGCGGGCAGCACGACGCGTTAACTCTGGAAGACTCCAGCTCATCCTTGAAGAAACCCAGGAAACTCCCGCCCACGTCCACCGCAATCGCCATCGGCATACCGAATGGCACCCCCCAATAATCTCGAGGAAGGCGGCGACGGCGGCCTCCGGCAGGCGGTCGGCCACGCGCGTCACGCGGCGCAGGTGTGCGTCGAGGCAGATTACGCCGAGCATGCGGTGGGCGGTGCCTGCGACGTCGACGATCGCAAGGAAGTCGGCCTGGAGGTGCTCCCCAAACTGGCCAGGGCACCGGATCGTGGCCGAGATAGGCTCGGGCCTACTCGGCGGGCGCGTCCTGTCGCAGGCGTCGCACTTCAAGAAGTGGATCGCGAGGTAGACGGCCGGCGTGGCGCCCTGCCAGGCGCAGAAGCGTCGTAGATCCTCGCGACCGGCGCGTCCGCGATGACAGCGCAGGCGCGCGACCATGGCCCTGATCTCGCGCGGGCACCTGTCGTTCGTCAGGCTCGGGAACCGAATCCGGCACCCCGTGATCGCGCAGATGTCCGGGCCCGCATCGGGCCGAGGTGGCGCCGGGGACCGCGCGCCCAGGTCCGCCTCTGGAGTCTCGGCGGCACTCCCAGGATGGACGTGGGCAGCGGAAGGGCCCGGCTGCGTCACCTCGGCAGGCGGCTCGCCGTCGGCGCTGGCCGACTCGGGCGCGTTCCCGAAGAAGAAGATAGCGCGGGCGACCGGCTCGCGGAAGCGCAGCTTCGGGCACTGCGCGTCCTTCAGCGCCCCGGCCTCCACGACGACGTTCCCGGCGGATGCCAGAGCGGCCATACCTCGGTGACGATGCTCGAGGTCTGCGGCGATCTTCCTGGCCTTTGGCAGGCACGCGGACTGGACTCGAACGAGTGCTGGAATGGATGCGGCGTTTAGTAATCGATTGTCGGACTTATATGTATGCGCAACCATGTTATAAGCGAGGTGCAACTTGACCCTAACTTCGCCTATTCACAACAATTTAGATAAATCCAATGTTATCCGTTATGGCACTTACGCAATTGCAATAATTGCGAGCTCATGGTTGGATGGAGTTATAACCAGGTTATTGTAACCACCGTAATCGATTAGCGCGATTAGCGGAAGCAGTTATTTCAAGTTATATGCCATTTACGAAGTAGCGCTAATCAGGTTAGCAAAGCCCCGCAGGCGTGATTTACAAGCCCCGCGTGCGGAATTTCAGTCACACAAACCCAACAAATCGAACGCTGAAATATTCACACATGAGGCGTGCCACATTTGATTCCAATCGAAGTCGGGGCGTTGAATTTTGTGCAACAGCAATTTGCACGCGCACTGCCATGCGCGCACGTCCGCGCGACCACTGCACACTGCGTTATAACCACGACGCGCCTGATGGGGGTCGGCCGACAAATTCGAAAAACATTCGATCTCGAATCCAAGGGCCCCGAAAGCGATTTCCCGAAAAAAACAAAATCGTGCCTTCGATTCGGCGTCGGATTGCATTGGTTTGCATTTGGCGAGTTGTGGTATCATCACCCTCCTCCGCCTCTTCCCCCGCCGCCGATGCCCGTCTGCCCACGCGGCAGATGTCCTGCCAGCGCGCCGTATACGGCGCGTTGGCAGGACATCTGCAGGTGCCCGCCAGCGTCACCTGCCGCTGCATAAACGAAGACGCAGCGGGGTAGTCGGCGCGCCGCTCGCCATGGAAGTCTAAGCGCTTCGCGCACCCCCCATCGGCCCATCCAGAAACGATGTCCACACGAGTTGAGGTGATCAGGGAAGTGCGGGATCAAAGATGGGGACAGCCGAACCGCACTCTTGAGCGCTTTTGCGGCCGCATCCGAGCTCCCTTGGGCATCTCTCGGGGCCCTCATGGGCCATCACGGGGCAATCTGGAGGCTCTGGGAGGCCATCGGAAGCGAGCGGGCAACAATGCAAAAACCATTGGTTTTCCACTTGTTCCCCATATCCTATGATGGGGTTCTTTGTGTTACTTCACCGCGCCTGAGGAACAGGAACAGGAAGGAAGGACCACAGGATCACACATACTCACTCAACACTCAGACTTATAAGCCTGAATTTGGAGGAAGTCTCAGGCGGGAGCCTCGTCTCTGAGTGAATTGTGAGGAAGTCTCAGGCGGGAGCCATATGGGGCCCGCAGATCACGTTGGTAATCCGAGCGGGTCATCGGAACCCTGTACCACTTAGGGCCACGCAGGTGCACTCAACAGGTCCGTAACCATTTTGGGTTCAAGCATGTTGATTCTGACCCACGATATATCTCTCGGAGACAGCGATGCTTCAGGTTGCCCGTCCACGGTTGGTGAACGATTCCTTATTGCGCGTGTTCTTCCAGATGTGGAAGGCTGTGGGCCATGCCAACAAGTACCCGCTCATGCAAACCGCCGATGCCATCATATACGATCCAAGGAGGTGCCTCACCTTGCACATGTACGACTTAAATGCAGAGTTCAAGCCTCATTTGAACCGGCTCTACGACCAGTTCTACAATGTATTCAGCGAGGCTGGCTGCAGGGACACGATTGGCATCATCGGGCTTGCGACGACGCATATCAGCTGGCCACATATCAAAATGCTCTCGTACAGGGGGGCCGTCTGGGACAGGAAGCGCTGGTTTGACCCAGGCAACTTCGTGTACACGCTGTTCTGGCTGTTGCTGGGGCAGATGGCGCACCACGTTCTCGGCCGCCGAGGCCCTTCCCCGAATGTCAGACTGGTGGCGAGCAAGTGGAAGGTGCTTCAAAAGATGGTGCGCACAAGGTGGCCTCGCACACATGACACCAACCACTGGCTCGAACTCCACGGCGACTTGCTGGAGATGACACTCGGAGTCGGGTACATGGACCAGGCTCGGTATTGGGGCGTCATTCGTGCGTTGTCGCCGATCCTCGCCGAGATCTCAGATATCGTGACTTTTATAGACGTGCACGGTGCCGCATCTAGGGTTGGACGGAACGGCCCATTTTTCAGGGGTGGTGCAGCGCCGTACACGCGCAAGCTCGCAGTGTGTATATACCACGCCATGCTTGTTCAAAAGTTCAGTGTCGGCCCTGATGCACAGAATTGGGCCGACTTCCTGAATGTTGCCAGCCATCACAGGCTGATGTATTGATGGCCTGCACTGGGCCTTCGCTGAATAGTGCTTGTACAGCACCCACGTTGCATGCAGTCTGGCCATTGCACACAGTCTGGCCATAGGACCAAAACAGGGTGTACTACGACGGCGGCGGCCCTCCTCCTCATCCTCCTCCTCGGGCCAGACCCTAGCGGCCCTCCTCCTCCTCCTCCTCGGGCGGCCCCAGGGGACCGTTTCGGACCAGACCCTAGCGGCCCTTCTTCTCCTCCTCGCCCTCCTCCTCTTCCACCTCCTCCTCCTCCTCCTCCTCCTCATAGGCCTTGTCCGGTATACCATCCTCCCCCTTCTCCCTCTCCACTGCTGCCCCCTCCCTCCATCTCACCATGTCCTCCCTCCCCCTCCTCCCTCTCCCCCTCCTCCCCCTCCTCCCTCTCCTCCCCCTCTTCCCTCTCACCCCCTCCTTCCTTCAACGATCTCGCCCCAAGACGGCCTGAGCGACTCCAGGGCGACTGCAGACGGCCTCGGGACGGCAACGTAGAGACACACCCACTTGATGTACATGGTTGGTACAGAAGAGCCCAGGACAACCGACACTGTCCAGATTAAGCCGTCAAGGGCTGCCTTCGAGGGCACCTAAGAGACCCCCAAGAGGCCCACAACAGCCACCTGGATGCCACCAAATGACACATACAACCAAAGAGGGCTGGCGTAGGCTAACATTCAACAAAAGGTACATGCAATACACGTAAAGCCACCTTAAAGATCCCCTAAAAAGGCCCAAGCAGCAACCTGAATGCCCCCAAGCGTTATATATGTAAAGGCCCCATTGGACCGAACTGGACCCCCGACCGCCCATGCATCCGTAGCCATTTTGGCTCGAGGTCATCAGTTTGGCCATTTTGGCCTTGAGATCTCCCTGGCCATTTTGGCCACATCCCTTTCTGGCAGATGCAGGCTACCAACCTAGATGGGGCTCTCGCGTTGGTCGCGCCTTCGATCAACCAGCTCGTGCGCGAGCACTTGAATGGTGACATTTCGGAGATCAAGAGTGCTGCTGACAAGATATGTTCCCTGCTCCTCGAGCACGGCCTCGCGTATCGCCAGCATTGTGACGTTGCCCACGTCGGTGTGCATTGCGATAATCGTGGCGGTGTCGGTGTGGAAGTTTGCAATGTACACAAGGTGTTGCTCCGCATCGTGCGGCAGGGGTGGTCGAAGGTAGAGGTTGCAGCTGCTCGGTGTTTCGAAATGCCTCCAGGCCAGCGCGGTGCCCGCCAGTGGAAGTTCAATCAGGATCTCGCTGTTGCTTCTGACGGTTACCTCGCTCCCTTTTCGAATGAGGGCCAGTTGCGTTTCCTCACAGTGGCGGGATCCCATTGCACCGCTGGCGTTCGCTGCGTGAAGTGCCCCAGGGGAGGGAGGAGGAGGAGGAGGGAGGAGGAGGAGGAGGAGGAGGGAGGAGGAGTAGAAGAAGGAGAGGATGGGATGAGGAGGAGGAGGAGAGAGGGGGAGAGGTGGGCCCGCAATAGAAAGAATGAGAGGAAGAAAGTAGGCGGCGACACATGGGAGAGGAGGGGGAGGAGGAGAGGAGGAAAGGAGGAGGAGGAGAGGAGGAGGAGGAGGAGGAGGAGGAGGAGGAAGCGGTGGAGCGGGGCGAACCCCCGACCAGCGCATGACGCCACCTCCCCCGACTTCCTGCGCATCGGCGGCGCCGACGGCGAACCGTCGAGAAGGGCGGGAGGTGGGAGAGGTGGTGGCGCCATGCGTCGCGGTCGGGCGCGGCGTACCACGAGGTACGGCAGCTTGACGGATGAACTCGAGATTTCGGCTGGGAACCGCGTCTCGAGGGACAAGGTGATGCAGCTGGCGCCATCGTTTTCGGAACCCCTTGAGCAGGGTATCGATTTCTTGTGCATCAAGCACCAGGTCGAGGATCACTGCCCAGATCTGGCGGATTTCTTGCAGGTCGCTGGCAACAGCGGCCACGACACTGAGCAGACGCCCTCGAAGATTGCCACGATGCTCTCCATCCACAAGAGGGCTTCTGTGCAGCAGAAGCAGGTCGGCTCGGTGGATTGGCCGAGGTTGGCGGCATCGCTCGAGCGGACTGCGCCTTACCTCCAGGGCCAGTGCGAAGACTTGGGTGAGTTCGTGAAACACTATTCGGGCGGCACCGTTCCGATATGGCTGAACGATCTCGATGCGTGGTCCAAGACGCGCAGGTTTCTTCGCGATGTAGATTCGAAGACGTTCAAGATCATTGCTGGTATTAAGTACGGGCAGGGTGCTGAATACATCGTGGCGATGGTCAAGGCTGCGATTCAGGCACCTGAGGGCTTCGTCCGCGATGGTGTGTCAAAGCTCATCACGAGCAGCGACGCCCAGCAGGTGACGGGCGCCAAGAAGACATTGGTCGGCGAGGCTGTGGCGTACATCCGCGCCGCCAAGGAGTGGCTGCCGAAAGTGACTGGCCTGAGCACCACGGACAAGATCCGCGTGATTGCGGACATGGAGATCCGCCTCGTCATGTTCATTCATGGCAAGAAGGCGAAGGGCCGCCCGCAGTTCAGCACGCTGAGGGCGGTCGCGGACCAGTTCTTGGACGACGTTGCCAAGAAGGACCCTCTGGCTCGGAACCTCGTGCAGCCGTGGACTGCGGCGTCGGACCCCGCGAAGGTGCAGCCCGTGAGCGCCGAGGCCATGGTTGAGTACGATG